CACTGCTATGCAATGCAGGATAGATAGAATATAAATAATAATAATAATAATAATAATAATAATAATAATAATAATAATAATAATAATAATAATAATAATATAATCTTTCCTTCCCTTCTTCTTAGTATAGATAGAATAGAATAGAATAGCTGGCTTTTTTTAGAATAGATAGAACATAGCGCGCCGATGTATTTTAACTATTATATCCTGACGCTGCTAGGCAAAGCTTCAAGTTGTATTCTATGTACCAGCGCCGGAGCGGAGGAATCTTTCAGAAGGTCACCTCTCTGCCAACGCAGCGACGGGCTTTCGGAACACCTCCCCTTCTAGTACACCATAACCACATTATGTTCGGCGCACCGAGCGCTTTACTCGCACGGGGATAGGTGGCGCCGAAGTATCGGGTCGCTCTCAAACCGGCCGCTCTGGTTATTTCTCCCAGCAGTGGTCCCGCATTCGTTCGCTCACCGCCTCTTGTAGCACCCAAGGTGGAAGAAACACATTTATGTGATGGCTCTGTCCGACGCGGCGATCACATTATGTTCGGCGCGTACCGAGCGTGCGTCACTCTCACGGGGATAGATGGCGCCCAAGCATTGGGTCCCTCCCAAACCGATCGCTCCAGTTGTCTCTCCCAGCGGTGGTCCCGTATTCCATCACCTAAGTCTTTCTTCCACCGTGGTTGAGCTTAGTGACAATTGAGAGATGCCAACGATCGTTGTCTTAATGACAGTTGAGAGCGCTATAGTGTAACTAACGTATAAGACGCATTTTAACGCAATGGCATTTTTTAGCTACTTCACACGGTATTCGCGATACGCTATCTGGCCTCGAACGTGCCGTGCGTATGCGGAGGTCACCTTCGACGTCCTCCTAGAGGTCGTCCTAAAAGCGTTTTTGAAGTCGTCCTCTAGAACGTCGTCCTTGAAGTCGTCCGCGACGTGCTTCTTGGTGTCGTCCTGCAGGTTGTCCTTGAAATCGCCCTGTAGGTTGACCTGAAATCGTACAATGCGTCATGTAAGACGTCATCCTTGAAGCCGTCTTAGAGGTCGTCCTTGAGGTCACTCTACATGTTGTTTTAGATGTCGTCCTAGACGTAATTTTATAGGTCGTCCTACAGGTCGTTCTTGAAATCGCCCTTAGGTTAACGTGATATCGTTCAAGACGTCGTCTAGGACGTTGTTTTCAATGTCGTCCTTGAGATCTCTCTAGAGGTCGTTCTAGACGTCGTCATCGAAGTCGTCCTAGATGTCGTTTTTGAGGTCGTCCGACAGGCCGTTCTTGAAATCGCCCTGGAATTTGACCTGAAATCGTTCATGACGTGGTCTAGTATGTCGTCCTTGAGGTCGTGCTAGGGATCTCCCTAGAGTTGGTTCTAGACGTCGTCCTCAACGTCGTCCTGACATCGTTCTTGAGGTCGTCCTACAGGCCGTCCTTAAAATCGCCCTAGAAATTGACCTGATATTGTTCAAGACGTCGTCTAGGGCGTTGTCCTTGACGACGTCCTTAAGGTCGTCCTAGAGGTCATTCTAGAGACGTCCCTAGAGATCGTTCTAGACGTCGTCCTCGACGTCGTCCTAGAGGTCGTCCGAGTGGTCGTCCTTGAGATCGCCCCAGAGGTCGTCCTACAGGTTTATTTATTTATGCGTTTTCTCTTCACTTGATATCCTAGACGTCGTTCTCGACGTCCTCTTAGCACGCAGATAATCCTGCACGGCGGATTCACGGCGCGGCAGTACGCACACATCCATATTTGCGCCCAAGCTACAAAGCAATCACTCATGGTTGCGGCGCAAGCAGATAAACCCGCGCAGCGCATACACGGAGCGGCAGTACATCGCATACATCTACAGTTGCGCCAGAGCTACGAAGCAGGTGGTGGTATTAGTTGAGTTAGTTGGTACATGGTCAATGATGGGGGTTAATCGACTTGAACATTAACCGATTACACAGAAGCAGGCAAGACTCTGCAATGATGGTGAGCAAACACTTTCCATATTGAAAGATTACACAGAGAAAGGAGTTTAAAGGAACGCACAGAACCAAAACAATCACTCAGCTTTTAAGTGGCGCGCTGCAGCCGCGATTACGTCAAGGATTACTTCGTAGGACATTCATAAAATACACTGTTTACTCAAAATGTGCCTCGTTGTATCCACAGTGAGCTGCGTCGTGAATGTCACGACGAATTTAATCGGAACACATAGACAACCAATACTAGTGATTTCTGCAGCCAATTTTTGTAAACAAAGGTAACTTCGCTGACAAAAGCCTACTATTCTTCGGCTTCTCGTTCTGAGAACAAAGGATTATCACTTGTTTTCACAAGTGGATAAGGAGAACGAAGAACCTCCGTCACGCTCTAATTCTTGTCGGGGCTCTAATATCTGTTCATGAGGAGATTCTTGGTTGGCGAGGACTTCTTCACTATCCAAGCCCTCTCACCTAGAACTTCGCTTGAGTCACAAAACAGGCTATGCTTGAAGTAGCGACACTACGATAATATACGATAATCTTGGTGCCGCCATTTTGTTGCCTAGTGCGATGCAGGTGGTATATTAGCAAACGATTGAAGAATGATACTCCCAGGGCTCTAGACACGCTATCGGGAAGTTCAGGCGATATTATTTTGTTACATCGCAGTATGTTTTAACATTTCTGCATGACCGAAACGAGCTTCCAGCACTTTAAGGTTAACTTCAGTTTACTGGGAAAAATGATTTTAAGCAACAAGATGGCGGAATCCTTGTTTACTGTGAAGTGTATAGATCACTCGGTTACTCTACTACCTACCAGGGCAATCTACTGTCGAAGGCACGGCCTAATATTGGTGCATAACATTCCAGCCGCTTGTGCGCAAAATAATGGCATGCGTGATCCTGCGCTTTTTTTCCCCGTACGTGATTGGTTTAGACGTGTGATAACAAACGCCCAAAGACGAAGAGCGCCATTATGATGCACTTTTGGCGCCACTTGAGTGACTCCATATCAGATCATAGAATCGGCTGTACTTGCATTTCCGTGAAACGAAATGAAGCGGCGCTCAATTCGTGTCTAAAGGCGTCTTTTTGGCGGAGAGCATAGCGGAGGAGATAAAACTGAATAAGGAAACTTACCAATACACTGATAATACTTCGATGCTCAGGCAGATTTGGCTCCACTGGCAGTATACTCTATTATTGAGATTATGCAAGTTCTAAAAATCCGGGAAGAAAAAAAAAAGAAAAAAAAAAGAGAACGGACAGCGAGAAAATTTAGAAGGAAATGAATGGACGTGTTCTCTTTGTATAGACGTCAGGTCCTACCCACAGCAGTTCGAGCTTGATGATTGCATTTCTCCGCTTACAGTCCCCACCTACAAAATGACTGATTCGAAGTATTAGCTCGGTGTACAACGAGGCTGAACAGTTTTATGGCTACAATTTGGAAACTTTGTGAATCTAATATGTTGTTCCTGCACTTGCTTGAACGTAACCGTGAACCACAAAGGGCTTCAGCAACGACTTTTTCCTCTCCTCAAATACTAGTCATAAATACCCCAGACCCGCCCCTCCTTTCCCCTCTCCCCCCTTCCGGATCAACTCTCCTGTCTACACCACTGCAAAACCGGGACAGGTTTTGCCACCGTTGTTTTGCATTCACTGACATCACATTTGTTTCGAAAATGTTAAAAAAAGAGTGAAGCTTTATTTCTGTAAATGACAACCACACAAACATATTTATAGGATGTCTAGCTGCTGAATGATTTCAGTTTAAATATTCCATTGTTCGAACAAGTCCCATTTATAACGCGGCTTAAACTTCATGCCGCATTTTAGTTAAATATATTTCTCCTAAACACGTCTTCTTTTTTTTTTTATAGAGATATAATGTGTATGTTTCTAAGAGCCTTGACCGTGAATTTGTAAGAAAAGGTTTTACACAAAATTAGCAGTATGTCCAGAACTTGAGCAGCAAAGGCATGCGCGGAATCGAACTGATTGAGTGAAGTTCACCTTCGATGTGACAAAAGCTAGGCATTTATTCCTGATTTTATTATGTTACTTTGATGTCACGTAGACATCAGGCATCATCTTTAATTTCAGCTACTTCATGTAGCGCGCGGTCAACGAAAACCGCAGGCTGTGCAGGACGGCCATTATCAAAGGTTCATTTATTAACCGATTTGAACCAGTTTACGCCGAGAAAAACCCGCAACCGAACTCATATTTCTGCCACTTGACCACTGGAAGTGATTCAAATAAACTGGAAAGAAATCACCTAAGCCCAAATCTATAGGAAACATCAATATTTCTTCATCTATTTATTTACCTCTGAAGGCCCACAGGGGCATTTCATAAAATATACTCTAAACGACTTAATTTTCGCGGACTCAAAATTTCGCGAATAGGGCCAAAGCTGAAAATTTGAAATTATTCGCGGCTTATAATTTTCGCGAATCGAGCGTAGCTTTCGTAGCGTTCACATATTGACCGAATTGTTCACGGGACGTATTTATCGTGAATTGTAGGCGATTTGCGAAATTCGCGAAAATTAGGTCCTCGCGAAAATTTAGTCGTTTACAGAACTCATAATCCCACAATGTTGTAATTGTATGAAATATAAAAGGAAACGTAATTACGCTAAAAGAGCTCAGTAAAACGGTAAATTGTGCATTGCCACGCACACCAGAATATAGGAAATTCTAAGTCATTAAAAAGTACACTAGAAGAAATGTACAGGTACTACAAGAAAGAGGGTACATAAAAAAGCTTATAGTAAAGACTTAGTCAACGATCATGAAATTGACGAGTGGAAATATAAAGGCACTAAACGTACACGTGCTACTTTGAAAAAAAAAAAAAAAAAGACGAAATGGATGTCATGATAGACTCGTAACAATGGAAGAAGCATTTTCATGGTTTGTTGTTTGTGCGACAGGTTCTTATGTTTTAACGCCTAATTTATTGAGCGGTATTAAAATGAACTTGAAAGGTAAAAGAGCCAAGGAAATCCTGAAGTGAAAACGTTTATTTCACGCTTTATTTGAGTCCCTCTTTATCGTAGCTGCATTTTCCATGAAAAACAGCACCAAGGTCCCAGTAGCAGTTGCAATGAGCACCTTTGCACATGAAGTGGTGAATGCACTGAAAAAGCGGAAGAATATACATATATTAGAAATATATCAGCGAAATTTCAATTCTTAACCTCAATTTCAGTAGTGTGCTTGGGGGTAACTTTCGCCGCTATCATAAACTCGTCAAGTGACTTTCTCATGGTGCACCTTTCGTTAGTGGCATTAAAAGGAAGCTAAAGATGTTACTAAAAAAAAAACGAGTTAGAGGTGAATTGTAAAGTATTTTTATCTCGTGAGTCTGAGTATCACGTTCGTTTCCCCAAAGATGCAACTAAACGCGAGAAAACGGGAAAAAAACTTCGACCAGTCGTTACGTCATAGTGGGATGTTTCGGTCGTTAAGCCCGTGTCGCTCGTGTGGGCAGCGCGTGCAATTGCAGATTTGCAATTTATATTCTCCCGCACTGACACCAGTCGTGACGTCTTTCTTCGAATTTTCTTGAGAATAGCAGGTGTGAGCGTGCAGAGCTTTGATAGTCGCTGAGATGCGCTAGAGTGGAGATTTCGGAAACTTCTTTGATGACGTAGCGCTCGCGGAAAGTCGGTACTTTGAACAAGTTTTCCTGCAGCCTCCATGCAGAAAATAAAAAAAAAATATCTCGGCATTGGGGAACCTCAAGGTCAGATGAAGAGTATTTAAGTGTGTTTAGTTAACTACAAAACCGCGTTAGTTTCCCTTTATACAGTTTAAGGCTCTGGTTTTACAAACACACAGCCCTCACCACATTTCCAAATAATAATTGGTTCATCAATAGTGTATTTCATTCAGCACAATATAATTTTTTGGTTTATATTAATATATAAACCGTGAAGTCTCCTAAAGCCTTATTTAGGTGTCACTGTGATATGCCATCATTTTCACTTGAAGAAAGTCCCGCTTTTGATTTTTGAGGCAGGCCAAGTTTTAGGCTGTATAAGCATACACACAACCCAATTTATGTTCTAGATAACTACCGAGGTGGCTGATAGTATGTTTAACTAAGGCCCAGTCACACCAAGGCCGCACGAATGGCACAAACATATTTTCGTTTAACGGAAAAACAAACCTCAATGAGTCTGTACAACGACTCATAAAGTAAAATACTCACAGGAGCACGGAAACAGTACCTGCACAAATGAGAAAAACGCAAATTAAGACTTACTTCCTTGCTAGTGCTCCGGGGCGAATAAGCATTTTAATCGTTTAATTTTGCGTCGGACATGTTCATAAAGAACTGCAGATGCAAGAAACGCTGAATGCCATTAGGTTTCTTTTTCTTGCTTATTCTTCCCAATTGCGATTTGCTGAAACATAAAAGAATTTGTGTCTCCGCCAAATATATTCAATTAGTGAGGACACATCAATATATCAGACGACGAGAGGAAAGGGCCTAACAAACGAGACCTTGATTATAATACAATTTTTTTTTCAGAAACAATTAAAATTCACATTGGCACCGAACGTAATAAGCCCTTTCACAAATATAATTTGCACGCTATATTAATCTTTGCTCCAAAACATCTTTTTTGCCTCAACTCGTATTTTATAAATGTGGACAACGCGCTATTACGTTTTTGTATTAGTGAAAATAGTTTATCAAGGGATGCAAGTGACGACTTACTTTGATGCAAGTGCACTTGCAATCATCATGAACAACAAGGCAATCACGAGAGCGCCCTTCAAGCTCATATTTACTTCGTTGACTTTCCTACTTCCTGGTCTGAGTGAAACTGAAACCTTTTAGGAAGCGTTATATGCAATATTATTGGGCCTTTCAATGCGCACATAATTTTGGATACTAAATGAAAATGCAAGAGAGCCTGCTTTCTAAGAACCGCCGAGATCACGCCGCCTGGCGTGCCGGCGGAATGCACCAATAATGAGTCCGATGTCTTCCGAGTATTCCTAGATTGTAAACTGGAGTCGTACGAACAGAATACACATAAAACTACTCGCCGTGATGGTGCGATTGTTTGGTCGCCACGCTGTGTATTGTGTGAAGTATAGCGGCGTTGTCCAAGAGACTGATCCGTGTTCCCGCATCTCTCTATTTATGCCTTATTAAATAAATTACAAAATTGCAGGAGCTAGTGCATAAACAAACGCTGAAGTACGCTGAAGTAAAGTGTTGTCCTTGAGCTTCCTCACAATATATATATTAAAGGGCATAGATGGGACTATTTTTTTTAGTTTCTTTGTGAAAAAATAAATATTTTGCAAAATATACTTACGTTTTTAGACGCAATTTAATTGGAGGGCACAGCCCGCTCTAGCCCCGTCTACAAATCAGTGATCCCGCCCATTTTTTTGGCATGGGTTGGCTGCTCGGCTGATCACGCTAAGCCTTTTGTCTCCCTCTCGAGACATCCGGGGCACAGTGGAATCATAACCAGTGGTCCCACTCAAGGCCACTTCCGGTAATCGCGCATACACAGCGCTCCTCAAGCCGGATGGCGACAACTGAAGTTGTAAAACAAAAACAAACAAAAAAAAACAGGGTAAAAAAGAATCGCAATTGACTAAATTGAGTGCGTTAATGTTAATATTTTTAGAAAACATAATAAGCTAGGTAATAATGATAAACCAACATGGAAAGAAAAAATCGAGCAGTTACCGTTAGCTTCAAAAAGTTCATTGCCCTAACCGAAGCCATGTCAGCCATGTCGCCGGTCGCGTTGTCGGCGTTCTCGGTGTTGCTGTTCTGCGAATTTCTCTTTCCTAGTACATTTCCCTTTCGGTTGGATCCTCGCTTGGCGTTTTAATGTCACGTGAGTTACCGAATCACGCTATGAATGTGTTCTAAATGTGCCTGCTCAGGCAAGAAGCCAAAAAGCCGGGGACTCACTTCGCCGTTCGAGATTCCGGGATTCCGTTTCAAGTTCGTTGCTGGTGAGTGCAAACATATTAAAGTGCTCGTGCTGTCCTTCGCGTCAGACCATGGCACGATCGTCTTTTCTCCAACGCAGTGCATGTGACTCGGTTAATTTCTTAGTCGTATGCACGTCGGACGTGACTTGTAAAACGGTCGAGCGTAATGAATTGCTTGTTCACGCGCAACCTCCACGTATCGAAGCTTGCACACCACTTTACTGGAAAAATATAAATATCGTGGCAAATGACGCGGATCAGGACCGAACCTGGGATTTGCTAATCTGTAAAATCATAAAAGAGAAGATGTCATCATAGCTTAAGATAAAAAACAAACAAAAAAAAACGCAACATTATAAAAAGTGAATTTATCAGTTGTTATATATTTGCAAACAGGCTAAACAAGTTGACTGGGCACATTGAACATGATTCTGAATTAACTAGTCAGATGGATGTCCCTTGAGGGGAATTAACGGGAAGGCACCTCCAAAAAAAAGTGTTGCTCAAACATGCCAATTTCCTGGACTCACACCTGTATTCTCTCTCTCTTCAGGATACCCTGTGGGCATGGCAGCATCTGGCACCTGTCGTTCAGCATGCGTCGAGACCCCTCCTCCTCCCGTCAAGCTCCAGACATTATTTATCTCCGCTTGGCACGTCATGCAGTAAGACCCACAGTACTTATCTAATTTAGAAGTATAAGCAGGGACAGATCCAAGGGGAAGATCCAATGGGGGGCGACGGGGGCAACCGCCCCCCCCCCCCCCAAACAAAGTCGACCCCCCCTCCCCCATCTCGGAGGGCAATTTGACATGGCTGGACTCCCAGGTGCACACGAAAGAAGGGGAGAATAGCATCCTTACAAACTTTCTGCCCCCCCCCCCCCCCAAACGGAGTTCTGGATCTGCCCCTGAGTATAAGGTGTGTCTCACTTAGTCCATTCACTGTATGCTGTTACTTTCTTGTTCCAGTACGATGGTTCCTCGGAGAATCACAGTGAATACCACGAGGGCGACAAACGTGTGGAGGCAAGCTGCAAGGGCCGGACACCAGAGACAAGAACCATCCGTAACCAGGGGGATGAAGCGAGAAAACTCAAGAGGCAGCTCATCATCTGGGCCTCAACAAGAAAATCGGAGACCGTACGCTGGGAAATTTGTCGACCCTCATTCTTGGGTGGCATGAGCATTTTCTGGTCATATTCGTACGTGAGGTGAACTGTTACTGGAACTAGGTTGACTCATCCTTCTGCAGCTTACAGGGCATTACCAAAGCTACGGCACCAACGAGACAACCGGAACATTTGGCTGAGGGACGGGACAACATATTGTGGGAGTATACTCCTCCTACGGAGAGCTCTCACAAAACTTGCTTCGTTGCTCTGATTAGCTCCAAAGAGCGGCAGTGCTTTTCTTTGTAAAATTAGGCTGAAACAGATTATAGCTGTAATGGGGCCACCTAAATTGACATTGCGGCATAACATTCCTCATGAGGGTTCTGGCATCTATTCTATGATATCTTGTGCAATTATGAATGTCGCAGGCCACAAGTGGTCACTTGACAATAATCTGCAACTCGTCGTATGACAAACTGCTTAAATGGTTGGGTAAGTGCAGTAAAGGTAGTTCTGCATATCTGGGAAAAAACAGTGGCTTGGAGGGCTCTAGCTCTTCCTCATCACAATCTGTCTTAGGAACCAGCTCGACAACCACAGCTGGTTGTCGTGCTGAAGTCACCGGAAGAAAACAACAATAACCGGTTGCTGCCATCATGTTGTGTTAGCCAGTGGTCAAGAACAAGATTTTTTCTCTTGAGCTTGGACAAAGTGTTCTTCAATTAGTTTTCTCAAAGCCCCTTTGACACGCAATGGCACACATAACCTAGTTCAATGGACACCCTACCTGTTAGTAGTGTTTCCAGTTTGTGCTAAATCACGAAAAGAGCCCTTGAAGAATAAGGTAGTGCTGTGAAAAAGTAAAATTTTATTTCCTCATTCCGGAGATTCCCATCTGTTGGAGCTTGGATAGGAGCAAGCTGTGGTCTGCGCTATTAAAAGCCTTTCTGAAGTCTAACTGGACGATCTCGCACGGAGTTCGGTTGTCGAGGCTGGTGCTGAGTGCATGGGTGAAAGCTGCAAAGGCCGATTCGTAGCTCCTGCCGGGCGGAAATTGTATTGGTGGGGGCTCCATCGTTTGGCATACGATGGAGGTTATGGACATTGGTCAGTATGAGTGGATGTTAGACTTGAGGGGGCACTGTGTCCCTTTTTGAGAGGCGTTACTGACGCAACTTTCCAGGATTTAGGAACAGAGCTGTGGAAGAGAAAATCGTTGAAGAGGCGAATGAGGACGGGGGAGATGCCGCCAGCACAGGATTTAAGCAATGCAGGGTGGAGGCTGTCTGGTCCAGGGTGTTGAGAGAAGTTGACACAGGCAAGGGCTTCGTAGGTTTCACTTTGAAGAATGACTATGGAAGACAGTGTGGTTTGACTGGTGTGGCCTTGACTGGCAGAGTTGTGGGTTGGGTGGGACAAAGGTTAGGTGCGGTAGGGTCAAGTAATGCTGCAGCCTGAGAAAAGTGGTAAGAGAAGGGCTCTGCTATGTCGTCAAGATTAGAATAGGGCCTGCCCTGATGTGTGAACACCGGCGCGTGGAACATTTTTTTTTATAGTGAAAACATGGCCAAGAGTTTGGGCTGGCAGGTTGCTTTTGCTCCTAGTTGCTGTAGGTAATCGTTATGGGAGATATGGATGAGATGCTTGACTTTGGTACGTGCCTGGTGGGCTTGGTTAAGATCAGTGGGATTTAGAGGCACTTTTTGAATAGTCAGTGTTTGCGTCTGATTAATACTGCAATCTCCTTTGTCATCCATGGAAGGCTGCCGTGCCTCCTGTTGATCCTTGGGGTGAGCATATTTGTGCTGAATTGCTGATATGTTGAGTGAGAGGTCGTCGGCCTCGTCAGCCGATGGGTGATCAAACACGATGAACCTAGGGGCAAGGTGGATGAGCTGATTGAGATGAGGGGAATCGATTTTTTAGAACTGCTGTAACTTCTTGGCTTGATGACCTCGCTTAGGGGCTGAGCAATGGATATTGGTGAGGAGAGCACTGCGATCATCACTGCCTGGTAGGCTGGATTTCACTGTGCAGCAATAGGATAAGGTGGGATTATTGGTGCGGACGAGGTCGAGGAGTGTAGCGTTCCTGTTTTGAGAAATGTAGAATGAGGCGTCATGAATTTGGGTGAGGCCAGCAGTTTCCAATACGTCTAACAGCATGTCATCAAGTGGATCAGATGAACAGTGCAGAGAACTTGCTGGGTTGACGCGCTGTAGGCTCTCTTGGAGGAGGGCGTACAATTGTTCACGGTGGGAGGGTGGGCAGTAGGTAGACACCAGAAGAAGCTTTCCATGTTTGCAAAATACCTCGACAAAGATGGCTCCTAGACCTGGAGGGGTGAGGTAGTCGAGACGTCGGCAGGGCGGGTGTTTTGGCATGGCGAGGACGGACGCCTTCGCCCCAAGGAGAGACAGTCTTGCTGGAATAAAGAGAATTGTGCGAGATTGATTAATTCACCATTAATTACCCGCCGAAGACAGGCGTCCACCGAAGACAGGCGTCCAGCCATGTCTCGCACAGCGAATATTGTATTCGGGAGAGATTACTTCAGCGCTTTAAAGTCAGGAAGGTTGTTCTTTAGGAAGGAAACGTTGGAAAACCAAATGTGATTGGAGTCTGTAGACTCCGATCGCGCACTTTTCACACGACAACTATGCCAAACGCGAAGTTGTCGCTCGCCGGAGGCGGGTCGGAGAACTACTTGGTAGAGCTGGCGATGATGGTGGGGTACGCAGGGGCTCCGTGCTGCTTAGGGGATGGAAAGAGGTCATCGGTCAGGGGTGGAAGCTGGCACGCTGCACAGGGCCACTCAGTTGAAAATGAGGAGAGGCGTCTATACAAAGCGAGAGTACATCTTCACATTTCTGGTGGAACCACAAATCACAAACGTCGCAATGGAGAGTGGCGACATTGTCGAACACAGACGGGGAACAGCAGGGCAGGTGGGACGTGAGCCGGAGTTTGAAGAGACACCCATGAGCGAAATGAAGGTGAACAGCCCTCCTCTTGTTTTTTGACGCTCCTGCAAGTTTTGGAACAGGCTCTGTTCCAGAAGAGGGCTAGAACGCAAAGTTTAGACCCCAAGCCACGTACCATTTGAGCCATTGAGAGTTAATATAGCTTTAGGGAGCCGTAAAACAGGCAAGAATCCAGGTATGTGTTCACCTTCATATTGCCGGCGGATGTGCATCACCAGTGATCCTTAATAACGGGATTAGGTGATGTTGTTGGCTAGGGCGACGAGTGAAGAATGCTCAGCCAGGAGGTTTCTTCCATGGACGATAATGTTCGATGGTGATGCTGCAGTCAGAAAGTGGCATTCTAGGTGCTTACAGTTTGTCGATGATAGGTGATATTTCTATCAAAGGGCCAGTAGCCCC